TAACATGAAAGAACACACACACCCTGTAGGGCTGGCATGCGCTCACCCAAGTCTGCTAGGGTTGGTGGGATACAGCCATAGGCCTAAGTTCTGCTCCTGAGATGTACACAGGAGCATGTGCAGGCCTCTGGGCAAACTGCAAAACAGAAAGCTTGTCACTGTTTACATGGAAAACTCCTCATTATCTGGCACATGTCACTAGGGTAAGGCTCGGAGCACTATATGTTGATCTGATAGTGCTCTCTTGAGACCCTTAAGTGAGACTTTACAGCCAACGAGCTAGAAGACAGCCACCTGGATGCATCCTGTGACTGAGCATGCCTAACGCTAAGCTTATTTTCAGCATTTACTCTCCATCTTTTACGTGTTTAATAGTGTAATCAGCTACTCCAGTCAACTACATCAGGAACCTGGGATTTGTCCAACATGTTTGTCTCTCCTTACTCTCAGTATCTTAGCCCTTATGCTTCCCTCATAAGTACTTCTCTGAGTCATTTTTTAAAATTTATTTATTTTTATTTTAAGTGCATTGGTGTTTTGCCATGGGTGTTGGGTCCCCTGGAACTGGAATTATAGACAGTTGTGAGCTGCCATGTGGGTGCTGGGAATTGAACCTGGATCCTCTGGAAGAGCACTCAGTGCTCTTAACCACTGAGCCATCTCTCTATGCCCTTCTCTGAGTTATTTTTAGGGTTAGTCTAAAATGAGGACCCCACCAAACACTGTCCAGAAGGCAACCATGCTCATCACAATACCACCAATGCAGAACCAAACACTGTCTGGAGGTGTTGTCCAATTTTGTTTTACTATTTCCAGACTCTGAACAGAGCAACCAGCCTTTCACACAACTGTCACATCAATGTTTTAAGTAATTGTTCTTTGAAAATAGGGTTTCACACTTGATGTGGTGCCACACACCTGATGTGGCGCCACACACCTTTAACCTCATCAGGCACATCTCTTAGTTCAAGGATAGCTGCGTCTACAGAGTAAGTTCTGGGACTACCAGGGGTACACAGAGAAACCTTGTGTACAAACAAGCAAAAAAAAAAAAAAAAAACAGAAAGGAAAGAAAATAGGGTTTCACAATGTAGCTCAAGCTAGTCTTGAACTTACACTTTCTGCCTCAGTCTCTGGGTGCTGCAAATCTACACATAAGCTATCATGTATGGTTTTTTTTTTTTTTTGGTTTTTTCGAGACAGGGTTTCTCTGTGTAGCTTTGCGCCTTTCCTGGAACTTGCTTGGTAGCCCAGGCTGGCCTCGAACTCACAGAGATCCGCCTGGCTCTGCCTCCCGAGTGCTGGGATTAAAGGCGTGCGCCACCACCGCCCGGCCATGTATGGTTTTAATTACTTTATTAAAAAAATAACTTTTGAGCCAGGCCTGGTAGTCAAGCCCCGCTTGGACTACGTAGTAAAATGAAAACTGGCTCAGTGGTTAAGCATCCACATTGCTCTAGTGGAGGACCTAGGTTTGGTTCCCTGCACTCAAGCTGGCAGCTCACAACCTCCTGCAACTATAGCTGCGGAGAGACAGATTCCATAGGTGCCACCTGAACATATGCCCTCTACACATATAATAATAAATTTGTAAAAACTGGCTGGAGAGATGGCTCAGTGGTTAAGAACACTTGCTGCTCAATGTACGGACTGGTATACTGAGCCTAGTCCCCCATGTAAGATGGTTCACAAGAGCATTCAACTCAAACTTCAAGGGACTCAATATCCTCTTCTGGTCTCTGGGCACAGGCATACACAATATGCATACACTCACAGAGCCATAGACACAAAGACACACCTGTAAATCTTATCATTTTGGTTGTGAGCTTTAGTCTTTAACAGATGAGACATCTCGCTAGCCCCACAAATAAATCTTTAAAAATACTTTAAAGAATTGTATATATATTTTCTAGTGCCAGGGATAGAACTCAGGTCTCCGTGTATGCTAGCTAAGCTAGTACTCTACCATGAGCCACTTCCTCAGCTCCCTAATATTTTATTCATTTGTTTGTTCATTTATTTATCTATTTATTTTAGACAGCGTCTCTCTGTGTAGTTCTGGCTGTCTTGGAACTGTGTAGATCAGGCTGGCCTTGAACTCAGAGATCCACCTGCCTTTGCCTCCTGAGTGCTGGAATTAAAGGCATGTGCCACCACACTGGATCCCCAATATTTTAACTACGAGTCTTATTTTGGCTTTTGAGATGGGCCAAAGCTGTCCTTGGACAGATTGAATCCCCCTGCCTCCACCTTCCCAGTGTCACTGGGCCTGGTCTATGTGGGCTGGAGATGCATGCTGAACTAGCGTTCTGCCGCCTCAGCTACATCCTTAGCATGAGCAGAACTTCAAAATGAGGAAGAAATGCTTGGAATTATGGAAAGAAGTCTGTTGACTTTTATGAATAAATATTGAACCTGTTGAAGAACTCTACTGAGCAACCAAAAAGAAAAAAAAGTAAGAAATGTAGACCTGTCACCTTCCAACAGGTGACCCTTCCCTCTGCCCAGGACAGTTTCTATAGCATCTATTAGAACAACTACTTCAGCATCCCATGGAGGCTGGTTTACTGAAATTGTGTGTGTCTTACAAGTCAGGGTGAGGTCTCATCTTACTCCCAAATGGGATAAAGAAAGCATTAAACAAATATTTACTGGATAAACAGGGATATTGAAAATTACATATGAGCTGGATAGTGGTGGGGTGCATGCCTTTTATCCTAGCACTTGGGAGGCAGAGGCAGGTGAGTTTGAGGCCAGCATGGTCTACAGAGTTAGTTCTAGACAGACATGCTACACAAAGAAACCCTGTCTCTAAAAAGAAACAAAAAGTTATATATGAAAACAAAAAAAGTATCAAAGAAAAAAGCCAGGTGTGATGGCACAAACCTTTAGCCTCAGCACTTGGACAGGCAGATCTCTCGAGTTTGAGGCCAGCCAGGGCCACACAGTAAGAGCCTGTCTCAAAAATAAATAAAAAAAAGAAAAAAGTTTACAGCATTTCAAAATTCTGATCTTAAAAAAAAAAAAAAAAAGATGAGTACTCAACAATGCCTAGATGCCAGGAACCGGAAGCTGGATGGCTCAGAGACCTAGGGTAGACCAAACACTACTGACAAAAAAAAAGTAAACGAAATGATTCCTAACAATATTCTGCTATATTCATAGATTGATGTCTAGCCCAGCTGACATGAGAGGCTTCCTCCAGCAGTCAATGGGAGCAGATGCAGCGAGCCACAGCTAAACATTAGGTGGTGCTCAGGGAAACCTGCGGAAGATGGGGAGGAAGCAGTGTAGGATCCAGAGGTTGAGGATACCACAAGAAAACCCACAGAATCAACTAACCTGGGCTCATGGGTCATAGGGGCTCACAGAGATTGAATGTCCTAAATGGGACTGATCTAGGCCCTCTACATATATGTTACAGTTGTGTAGCTTGGTGTTCTTGTGGGACTCCTAACAGTGGGAATTGGGGGATTGACTCTTCTTGCCTGCTCTTGGGACCCTTTTCCTCCTACTGGGTTGCCTCCATCCAGCCTTGATATGAAGGTTTGTGTCTAGTCTTATTGCATCTTGTTATGCCATGTTCGGTTGATATCCCCGGGAGGCCTGCTAGTTTCCAAAGGGAAATAGAAGAGCAGTGGATCTGGAGAAGAGGAGAAGTGGGGGTTGGGGGAAGGACTGGGAGGACTGGAGGAGGAGAGGCTGTGGTCAGGATGTATTGTATGAGAGAAGAATAAGAAAAAAAAAATAGTTGAGGGCCAGTACTGGTTAATTATCAAAATCTAACCATAAATAAGCTAAGACATAATAATAGTATTATGCTACAATGGCATTATAACCATATGATAGGTAAAGGGAAATGGACCAATTTAGCTCAAAATTCATATCCTTCCTTCAATCTCAGAAAATGCTGTCAAAAAGAGGGTCATTGCAGATGTTAATGTTATCCTGGCATAGGATAGGTCCCTAATTCAGTACGACTGGTGTCTTTAGAAGAGATCAAAGTCATGACAAGGATTATGGGAAGCTGGTCAGCTGGAGCCAGGAGTAGGCAAGGATTCACTTCTACAGGTTTCATTAGAGTGAACCACTCCTGATCTTCAGAGACACTCTCTTTTCACTCTTGGCAGTTTGGAAGATGACCTGTTATTTGCTGGCATTCTTGGTAAGGACCTGGATTATCTTTTGACTCATTTCTATCTCTAGCTATTGAGAAGTTCCTGGCACACAGTAGGTCTTCAAAAAGTGTCAAGAGTGAATAGATTACATGCCAACCATAACTAAAGCCAATGCTCAGACGACAATGGCAAAGAATGAAGGTCACTTCACACACCTAACAATACTTTCTCTTTTGTTGGGCAAGAGACAACATTGAAAACAGTAGTGCTGAGTTTTAAGACTCACACCTTTGAATGAACTTTGCCTTCTTCAAAGAGTTCCTCTCTAGCTAAAGGCTTTTTCCAAGCAGGCCATTGTTTGAAACCTTTGGGAGGAAGTCCTGTTTGGGCACTGTGTTGGAGCTTGAGGCCCACTTCTCAGGAAGATGTGATTTTCAAAGTATTTGGAAGTATTTCAAAGTATTAAGCCTAATAAAGTCAGGGATAAAGCTGGGCAATAGTATTTAAAAATAAGATGTGCTTGTTAAAAAAAAAATACCCCTCACGATTTTCAGTCAGAATCGGTAACACATCTCCGTATTCCAGCACAGGAGATGCTGAGGCAGGATGACTGACATGGGTTCAAAGCCATCATGAATTACACAGTGAGACTGTCTAAAAACATTACAGAATTATAAAGTTACCGAAGGTAGAATCCCAAAGGTGGGTAAGAGATACGATTTGCAAGGTGGTCGTGATGGCACTTGGGAGGCATAGGCAAGAGGATCCCGGTGAGTGCCAGGCCAGACCACTACAGAATGAGACACTGTCTCAAAAAGCCCCGTAAGAAACAAAACAAAAGAAAACCCAACTTGCACTTTTTAATACTCCAAGAACACGTACGTCATGGAGTGCTCCCAACAAGATCAGAAGAGACCTCCCCATACCAACCATGACAAAATCATCCTTCTGGTAGGGCTGGAACGTCTGGTCAAAGCTGAACGCCTGCGCCTGGATTCTGCCCAGCATGGACCTGGCAGAGGGGGAGAGTCAGTGGGAGCAGAGTGCGGAGCCCACCGGAGCCCACCGGAGCCCACCGGAGCCGAGCCCGCCGCTGGCCGCCCTCCCTCCCCCGGTCCTCACCACTGGCGGAGCCGGCTGGTGATCTCCCGGGTGCTCAGGGACGAGAAGGTTCTCTGAGGCAGGAATCTGAAGTAGAAGCCGCCTAGATAACCCGGCTCTCCAGCCGCCATTCTGCTTGTGGCACCGGGAAAGCAGTAGCCGTTTCCATAGAGACACAGCAGCAGGCGACTCACCAAACTCAGGGGGCGTGGCGCCGCCGGGGGGCGTGGCGTCGTTGGGGAGGGTGGGGGCGGCGAGGAGAAATGATTCTGGGCTCAGCTCATCTTCCTCTGTGGACTCCCACCAAGACCGAGAATGAAGGAAAAAAAAAAAAACATGGAGAAAAGTTCCCGGGCGCTTTGTGTTGACGGGAACTCTTAGTTACTCTGCACTGGCCAGTGACCTAATATCAGAGACTACAGTTTCAAGCTGACGGTTTCCTAAGTGTAAAGACGCTTTGCAGGAAGAAAAAGTCTAATTAGGTTGGTTTGATTTGAAAGACAAAGGGACTGCTTAGGAGAACATTCTGCTTTTCTGTGACTGATGCTTTTCCTTTTGAAGTTACGTTTCAGGGCTAAAAAAAGAACACCACAACACACTACTCAGTAATGAACCTATGTTTACCTGTTGAAATTGCTCTCAGGAGCCAGCTTTCAGTTTTTGTCTAGGAGCTAGATAGGATTTAGAAGGGGGATTTTATACCTTTACTGATTTCCTTTCCTTCCTCTTGGTCCTTAAGAACCAAGAAGACAGACAGAGAGAGGGAGATAGATGGTAGATAGAGAGGGAAGGAGGTGGGGAGGCTTATTGTTTCTGGTGTTGCTTTGTGTACCATCTATTATTATGCCACAGTTTATCCTTTTGGGTTATTATTACAATTTGAGGCTGTTAGGAATGCAGTTGTGAACATTCTTATATAGGTTCTTTTTTTCTTTCAGTCTTCCTGCCATTCAAAAGTTTATGAATATTGTGTTTGTTTTACTTTGTGTGTGTGTGTGTGTGTGTGTGTGTGTGTGTGTGTGTGTGTGTGTGTATGTATTGGCCTGTATACATGTCTTTGTACTACGTGGGAGCCTGGTGCCCAGAAGCCAGAAGAGGGCATCAGATCCCCTGGGACTGGAGTTACAGTTGTGAGCTTCCATGTGGGTGCTGGGAATCCCTGTCCCATGTAAGAACAGAAAGAGCTCTTAACTGCTGAACTATCTCTCTAGCCCCTCATAAGTCTTTGTGAAGGAAACAGGAAGTTTTATTATAAGGTATAAGTACAGACTGTCTTAGTTAGGGTTTCTATTGCTGCATTGAAACACCATGACCAAGAGACAAGTTGGGGAGGAAAGGGTTTATTTGGCTTACACTTGCATATTGCTGTTCATTATCAAAGGAAGTCAGGACAGGAACTCAAACAGGGCAGGAACCTGGAGGAAGGAACTGATGCAGAGGCCATGGAGGGGTGCTGCTTACTGGCTTGCTCCTCATGGCTGGCTCAGCTGCTTTCTTATAGAACCCAGGACCACAGCCCAGAGATGGCCTCACCCACAATGGGCTGGGCCCTCCCCCATCAATTACTAATTAAGAAAGTGCCTTAAAGGCATGACTACAACCAGGATCTTATAGAGGTGTTTTCTTAATTGAAGTTCCCTCCTCTCAGATGACTTTAGCTTGTGTCAAGTTGACATAAAATTGTCCAGCATAACTGTCCCCTTGTCAGTTTGACACACAAACACATCACTGCTAAGCCACAACCTTTCCTTTCTCATTCATCCTCAAAATCTCTCATTAAAAATATAAATAACTTATAAAATCCCACAGCCCTTACAAATTCAAACACATTAAAAGTTCAGTCTTTTTAAAATAGCCAATCTTTTTTAAAATCCAAAGTCTTTTAAAATTCTAAGTCTCTCAGCTCCAGTAAAATAAAAAATAAATTACTTTCTTATTTCAAGAGGGAAGAACCAGGGAACAGCAACAATCAAATCAAAGCAAAACCATACTCCCAAAGTGTAGATAACTCAGCCTCCAGTGTGGAGGATTCATTGGCATTCTTCTGTGCTCCTCCCAGGGTTTGGTCACTTCTCTGGCTCTGCCCTCCCCATCACATACAGCCTGTTTTCTGGCTCCACTCCACTGATGCTGCTGTTCTTTGTGTCATCCCATGGTACCACCATCTCTAAAATGCTGGGTCTTCTGCTGCAACTGGGCTGCACTTCCACCAATGGCCTTTCCTGTCCTCCCACAGGGCCAAGCCTCAGCTGCTCTCCATGACCCCTTCACACCTTCAAAACCAGTACCACCAGAGTGATTCTTACATTACCAACTTCAACTGCCAGCACAAGGTACAACCTTGGCCGCTTCTGGAATACAGCTTGTGTGTGCTGACCCTGAGCAAACATTTCCCAGAAGATTTCACCTCAACAATGCTGGGCTCTTCTTAATCACCACTAATTTCTCAGCTTTAGCCAACCAGTATCCAGTATTTCAGCAAAGCAAAGGTTTTACTTTAGTAATTCTGGTCTCTCATTAATTGCAGGTGATTCTTTTCAACCCCAGATAGCAAGAACCAAAGAATCTTAATTCAAAACAATAAATGGCTTTGGTAGGGCCTTTAAACTTCTCTCTGAAACTTCACAGGCCAGGCCTCTATCTCTGCTTTGCTCTCAACATTCTTATCTTCCAAGCTCCTACAGAACAGCTTACCAGGTGCTGAACACTCAATGGCTTTTCTTGCACAAAGTTCCAAAGTCCTTCCACAATCCTCCCCCAAAGAACATGGTCAGGTCTGTCACAGCAATAACCCACTCCTGGTTCAGACTGTCTTAGTTAGGGTTTTTGTTGCTGCAACGAAACACCATGACCAAAAAGCAAGTTGGGGAGGAAAGAGTTTATTTGGCTTACACTTCCATATCACTGTTCACTATTGAAGAGTCAGGACAGGAACTCACACAGGGCAGAAACCTGAAGGCAGGAGCTGATTTGAAGGCCATAGAGGGATGCTGCTTACTGACTTGCTCTCCATGGCTTACGGAAGAGGCTGTTTTGAAACAGGGTCTTGTTTATGTAGCCCTGGCTGGCCTTGAAGTCACAATGTAGCTCAGGCTAGCATCAGACTTGGGACAATCCTCTTGTCTTGACCTCTCAGATTGCTGGAATTATAGGCATGAAGCACAATGCCAGGCTCCTTTTCTGCCCTTATATGGGTTTTTGGGTATGGCATGGTGTGAGATACATTTTGAAGGGCAGGTGATGCGGTCCTGAAATCCCATCACTTGGGAATTGAAGGCAAAAGGATCACTGAGATATCCAGGTTAGTGGGATCTATACAGGAAGTGAAGTCCAGCCAGGGCCACTTAGAGTGAGACCCCTTTTCAAACAGCAACAAAAGGCTGGGAGTGGTGGCCCATGCCTGTGATACCAGTGCTTAGAAGGTAAAGGCAGGAGGATTAGAAGTTCAAGGTTATGTTTGGGTGCTCAGAGAACTGGGGGCATGCTTGAGACCCCATGACACCTTGCCTTTAGACAAAAGCCAAAATAAATAACAGTTTATATGTTTAACTTACAAAATACATTTAACTTTTAATAAATTATATGTATATATATATATATATATATATATATTTTTTTTTTTTTTTGAGACTCACTGTGTAGCCCTGGCTAGCCTGAAACTTGCTCTGTAGACTAGGCTGACCTCAAACTCACAGAGATCTGCCTGTCAATGCCTCCTCCCAAGTTCTGGGATTAAAAGCATGCATCACTATGCCCAGCTAAATTGTGTATTTTTATAGTTAAAATTTTGTCATCATAGTGTTTGTATATTTATGTGTATCCACAGCATGCATATGGAGGTCAGAGGACGACTTTATGAAGTCAGTTCTCTCCTTCAGAGATTAAACTCAGGTGTCCAGGCTTGTTCAGCAGAGGCCTTTACCTCTGAGCCATCTCCTGGCCCAGACTTTTAAATTTTTCATATTAACTCTGTAAGTAATGCTTTAAGTATAAATTACTTTATAGGCCTCATAGTGAAATCACTGATTTTAGGGTTCAGCCTAAAAATCTGCCTGCCTCTCTACCTGACTGATTGTGATGGTGACCCAACAGTTTTTAAGTTGGTTTACTCATGAGAGCTGTGTGTGTGTGTGTGCGTGCATGCTTTCTGATAGAGCTTGGTGTCTGCCACAGCATGAGCTGAACATCCACATTCTTGTCCATTAGGTTTTATTTAGTGCAGCAGCAGCAGCCCGTTCGCGATGGAATGCATCTTCGGGTAAAGGTTGGGGCTGAACCTCACTGTTTTCAGTTTCTGGAAGAGAAATTTCCTGGGAGGAGTCAGGGCCCCTGGAAGAGGTAAACAAGCAGGGACTGGAACCTGTCTCTTCCATGACAGCAATGCTGGCTGGCTTTCACGTTAGTTTTACGTTTGGTAGGGCTGTCAAGCAAAGCAGCTCCTTCAACTTCCTACTGGGTATAACAGTGTATGGTGGCCTTTGTTTGGTTTCTATAAAAATTAGATTAAATTGCAGAACCCAGCTTTTGGTTTACATTTGTTTTACATAGTTTACAAAATGATATAAAGCAAGGTACCCAATTTCCTAATTATATAAATTTTCAGCACTTAAGAGGGGCCTGGGCCAGGGGTGTGTGGCTAAGGCAGGGCAAGGGCCTATACCATTGTCCTAGATGCAGAAGACAGCTTAAGACCCAAGCCGGGGGTCTAGCCTCAGCGAAACTGGCCAGTGGAAGTAAGGGTTTAATGGGAGAGAAAGTGACTTTTAAAAAACATTATTTATTTTGCGAGAGGGAGGAGGGAAGGGAGAGCTATCGAGCTTGTGATGAGTGAAAGTCAGAGGGCAACTTTAGGAAATCAGTTCTCTCCTTCACCATGTGGGAGTCAGGGTTGGCAGCAAGGGCCTTTGCCTGCCCAGGTGACTTTTCTTTTCTCCTTTGAGGCAGGGTCTCTTGTCTCCCAGGCTAGCCTGGGATTCAGTTGTGTAGTAGCTGAGGATGTTTGAGTTTCTGATCCTCCATCCACACCCTGAGTCCTGAGGTTATAGGAGCAAGCCTGCTTGCTAAGTTTTATATGGTCCTAGGGATTGGTCATTTGTACACGCTAGTTGAACTACCCGCTAAGTACTAAGCCACATCCCATCCCAGGCCATAATTTGTTTAGAGTTTTTTGTTTGTTTGTTTTGTTTTTTGAGACAGGATGTCATGTCTCTCAGGGTGGTCTTGAAT